CTGTGGCATAGTGGGTACAGAGCCGCCTGCAGTGCCGGCATCCCATATGGGTGCTGGTTCGAGACCTGTCTGTTCTACTTCCAATCCAGCTCTCTGCTATGAGCTGGGAAAGCAGAAGATGGCCACAGTGCTTGGGCCCTTGAAACTGTGTGGGAGACCTGGAAGAAGCTCCTGGCTATGGGCTTCCGATCAGCCTAGCTCTGTCCATTGCATCCATCTGGGGAGTGAGCCAGCAGTTGGAAACTCTCTCTCTCTGCCTCTGTCTCCCTGTAACTCTGCCTTTCAAATAAATAAAATAAACCTTAAAAGAAAAAAAGAGGTGCTAGGTTTTGAGTATAAAATAATTTAATCATACTTAATTACATATACGCTAAAGAAACGTTTATGAGGCTACTAATGATGATCTAATAGGCATCTTATTACTTATGAGTAATTGTATCTAGGATATTAAAGCACATGCTTGGACTACTGCTGGAGTCCACTTTTACTGCACTAAGTGGGTGTTTAAAAGGTTTCCTGTTCTTTTGCACATGTGTACATTCACCTTACGATAGCTATGACCATGAGGATGTGTCTGGACCTCTGCTCATAAGCTGGGGATGCCTTGCTTTATGTGTAGTTATTTGATGGAGAAAACTTGCCCTCCCTTTCAATTTTTTGGTGTATGTTGATGGACCATGATTATTAACATACTGCAAAAAACAAGAAGAAAAACCATGGTTTTTGCTTTCATAGAGAGACTGTTGACTGGGCTGTTTTCTTGGAGGGTGTTTGGAATATGAATCTCAAGCCATAGGATTTTCCCAGGAGACAATTTACTTCTATCCAGAGCTTTTTGGTAAGCCAGGCACAACTACTGAAGCCCAGGCACCTTCTCATTAGCCACCGCAGTCAGGATTAGCAGTCAGACAAGCTGAGGGAGACCCCATCTCCATGGCTTGTTATTTTCATGTTGTTAGGCAGCTCATTTAAGTTTTCTGTCTCAACATCCTCATCTTTACATGGTGGCCATACAGTAATATTTTTAAGTGTAGAGAAAAAAACCTCATTTTCATAGTTTCAAAGGTCATTTTGAACTAAAACTCTTAGCAATTTTTTACCAGTTCACAGAAGTCGAGACTGGAAAGACCAGGGCAGGGGAGCGATTTAAGGGAACAGGGTTCTGAAGCAGTGGCAGCCCGCGGGGAAGACGGGACATCAGGACATGACCAGATAAACACATGAATTCAACACTTCAAATTGTTAACAAAAAACCTTATATATTATTTGAAAACTACCTAAGTTGTACATAACCTCAAACCACACAAGCATGTTTTCCGCATCAGCTCTTCCTTTTGTTGAGTTTCTGTTGCATATTCAAGAACAAAGGAGGAAAACAGACTTTCAGTCCCTTTGTGGCTATAACCGGTACTTGCACAATGTGGGAGGGAGCGAGTGATTGTATGCAAAGCAGAAATCGCTCTGACTGACCTGTGTTTCTCCCCCTCCTGCCTTTAACTGGGGCTACTTTATCTACATTTTGGAGTCTCACCACGCCCAGGTTTCTTCTTTTCAGGGTGCAGGTCAGCAGCTGAGCAGCCCAGCCACGGCAGTCTGGCAGCTCGTTCCCCCTTCCGGGCCTGACAGAGTTGAGTCTCTGACGTCCTGCCTCACCTCTTCAGGCGCTGTCTTCCTTCTCTCTGGAGCCGTGCTTCGACTCTAGAATGGTAGCGTCTTCTCCCTGCGCCCCAGCCCCTGGATCTGGATGCTGGCACCTGCTGGCATCCCTCCCTGTGGTCCAACCCTTCTAAGTAGGCCCGGACCTTTCCGTCGGTCAACCACTGGGCTTCATTGCCTCATACCCCATTCACCTCCCAGGGCAGTGTCTACACTCAGCAGGCAGTCGCCATTGGGCCTGTGCTTACTGCTTGTTCTGAGTCCCCTGACACCTGCCTCACCTCTCCCCAAATCTATCGGTTGCTTCTGGGACCTTAGGAGGTGGCCTGCCAATCCCTGGGTCAGGTTCTGCAAAGCCCCAGTGCAGGAAGTCTTCATTAGATGTTTTATTTCTTATGCAAAATTTCCTTCAAGAACGATTTCCTCCTAACATCATCACGGGCCTCCCGTGAGCAGGGAAGCTCAGTGTGCGCAGGCCTGTGGCTCATTCACAGACACTCAACAGAGGCCCAAGGTCTCCAGAACAGAAATTTTAGAAACCCGCGGCACATCTGCACTCTCTTTCTCGACAAAGACAATGACAACAACAGCCAGAACAACCCTTCAAAGGACACAGAAAGCACCAGCCGACTTTAAACACTGGAAGATTTTATCAAAGACTTCATGGTTCTAGAAAGCTTACAGTGTGTAATGTCTAGTGGATGTTTGTCACGGACTTTGGTAGCCCGGATGATGACATGAGAGCACTAGTTAAGTCAATAATGATGCGCTTACTAACCAAAAACGAATGTCCTGTCCCCCTCAAAAAAGGCAGAAGCAGGAATTTCGCGGCCCTTAGAATTTGCTGATGGTTGGCTGTAGTTATATGAATGGGAATACAGTAATGATGGTTACCTGAATTAGTCCTCTGATGCTAAATGGATAGCTTGTGATCATTTTTTAAAAGATTCATTTATTTATTATTTGAAAGGCAGAGTTACAGAGAGGCAGAGGTAGAGAGAGAGAGAGGTCTTCCATGTGGTGGTTCACTCCCTAGATGGCCACAACAGTTGAAGCTGTGCAGATCCAAAGCCAGGAGCCAGGAGCTTCTTCTGGGTCTCCCACGTGGGTGCAGGGGCCCAAGGACTTGGACCATCCTCTATTGCTTTCCCAGGCCATAGCAGAGAGCTGGATCAGAAGTGGAGCAGCCAGGTCCCAAACTGGTGCCCAAATGGGATGCCAGCACTGTAGGCGGCAGCTTCACCGGCTCCGCCACAGCGCCAGTCCCTTGTGACCATTAAGTTACCATGCTAATCCATAGGAAGGGACTATTTTGGAAGTAAATATTGGTAGAATCATACATAGTTTGAAAACCTGAGAAATGGTTTGAATGATGTGTGTATCTATTTCTCATGAAGGATTTGTTCCCAAGATGGATAGGTTTGGAAAAACTCTCACTAGAATCTGGAAGAAATCTCAATTTCATTTTTATCAGAGGCAAAATGATGAGGCAAATAAGTTCTTTATGGACAACACAAATGCAAAGTTTAGAATATTTCCTTAGATAAACACTTTGGGAAGTTTTTTACTGCCCCCTGCTGTCAGTTTCTAAAACAAACAGAATATAGAAAAATTACTGTAAAAACTGACTCAAGGGGACCGTGCTATGGCACAGTGGGTAAAGCCTCCACCTGCAGCACTGGCATCCCATATGGGCACCAGTTATAGTCCCAGCTGTTCCACTTCCAATCCAGCTCTCTGCTATGGCCTGGGAAAGCAGTAGAAGATGGCCCAAGTCCTTGGGCCCCTGCACCCATGTGAGAGATCCAGAAGAATCTCCTGGCTTCAGATTGGCTCAGTTCCGGCTGTTGCGGCCATCTGGGAAGTGAACCAGTGGATGGAAGACTTTCTCTCTCTCTCTCTGTCTCCCTCTCAAATAAAAAAATATTTAAAAATGATTCAAGGAACATTAGTTGAAGAAATTGGTCGGGGACAAAACTGTCTGCGTCTAATGACACCACTTTGCAGCCAGTAATTCTAATGCGCATGCCACATTTGTGAGCAATGTTTTGTCAAATGAAACCAGCACTAGCAAAGAGTACGCACACAGAAGGACCCAGGGTGAGTGCTAAAGTTGGTGATTTACGAGATGCTATTAAAGAAAGAGGACAGGTGTTTCAATGGGTGCTCAATGAGGTCTGCCGTGTTCCCAAATCAAATAATTTTGAGTTTACTTTTTTTATATGTATATAATCTAGGTCAAGCATACCTCATTTATAAAGGCAATATTTTCAAAATCAGGGAATGAATGGCCTATTTTTTGTAGCATAATCCTGACTTGAAATGTTATTCATGTTGGCATATTAAATTAAGAAATGGGGAAAAAATACAAAGAATAATAAAGCTAAAAAGTAACATGAGTGTAACAGTGGCTAGGTGCAAGGCACTGTTCTTTTTCACATACCATTTTATTTGACCACCGTAAAACAGAATGTATTATTCTAATTCCCATTTCACAGGTGAAGAATCTGAGCATGGAGCACGGAGGGGTTTAGTAGCTGGACTAATGAGGCACTGCTGGCATCGTCACTGGAAGCCTACAGTGTGACTCCAGGAGCTCCTCTCTTAGCCTTTTTGTGCATTAGAAGGTATCAACTCTGCAACGTGGAGGAAGAATATACAGAAATCGTGACAGACAAGGTGGTGAGAGCATTGTGCACACTCACCGTACTGCTATATTTCGCTGTGCGCATGCTCCAGTGGTCAGAGCCTGTGAGAGTAGCAGACCTGTGGCACCCCCAGCGGGATGCAGCCTTCTCGGAGCTCGTTCCGCCTTCCTCGGCTGCACCGCATCGGAGGCGTGTGCACGTGCTAAACTTCTCTGAATATAGCCCAAGCCTTTGACCAGATTCTCTCTTTGGGGACCCATTTTATGACTGGCCTCTGTACACCTGAGCCTTTCATCTCTGAACTTCCAGTCGGAGCCACACCTCCAACCATCTTCAGCTACTCAACATGTATACACTTTCCCCAGTATCTGGTATCAATCACTGCTGAGTTTCCCTGGCCTCTAGGAGTGCTGGGGTCCTAGATAACAACTCCTCTGTGTTTCACTTTGCCTGTTCCAGCCCTTCAGCTATCCTCTAAGTGTAGCCCCAAGGCCCCTGACAACAGAAATGACTTTCCCGGGGTGTTGAGCACAGCCAGTGTTTTTTGCAAATCTGGGAAGCTTTTGCCTTGCAGGTACTCAAACTCTTATCTCGGTCTGCAGAGGACTAACTACGGAGGAAGTCTTTCCTCCTCCCGTGTCAAAGGAAAATCCACAGTCAACGAAACCATTTGACATTCATAATCAAAATTCTTACCTGACATGCGGCATTGGGCTTCCGGTGACTCTACACGCCAAATACACCCGGCTTCCTTCCGCTACTTCCTGGCTCCTCAGCTTCTGGGTGAATCGTGGTGCAGATGGAAGGGGGGCTGCCATCGGGGGCTGTGGGCGCGCACTGCAGGTGCGAGGCGCCGCCTTGTCCTGGTCCGCCTGGTGGTAGCCAGGCCTGGCCTCGGGTGACTTGACCTTGGCTTCCAGCTCGCGGTGGTCTTCGGTGGGGCTCTGGCTGGCCGAGGCACTCAGCAGGGCTTGCGGCTGGTTCTTAGGAGACAGGTACCCGCTGTCCGGGGATGAGGACTCCCCGTTTGGGCTTCTGGTCCTTGGCTTTGCGGCTTCTCTGAAGATGGACGTCAGCTCCTCGATCAGGTTGGCTGCCTTGTCACACAGCTGGCCCTGAGGGCCGCCCTTCCTGGGCCGCGTGGGCTTGGGCTTCACGCCGCAGCTGGGCGTTTTCACACCGCGCTTCTCAGCCTTGCGGAGGCTCCGGATGTAGCTGGGGCTGGCAAGCAGGGGTGACTTGGTAGGTTTCCTCCTGGGACCAGGAGACGCCACACTCTCGGCGTGCCCGGCGGGAGGCTGCGCAGCCGTCGGCCTGTTGTCTGGCGGGCTGGCCGAGGAGCTGGGCGCTCCCAGCGTGGTCTGCTGCGGAGAGCGGTTTTCGCAGCGGCTGGCACGAGAGGTGCTGAAGATCTGCGAGATCTCCTTCTCCGAGTCACAATCCTCTGTTTCGGAGTCGGCTATGGCTCTCCGGGCCAGGTCCAGGCTCTTGTGGATCTCTTCCTGACTGAGGAAAGCAGACAGCTCCGGGAAGAAGTCGGCATTCTTGCCTTCTTCCTGCACGTCTGACAGGGAATCGTAGAAGGAGTCGTGGGAGGAGGTCTCCGACATATTCCAGCAGTGCTCGGGGCCTGCAGCAGGAGGGCCAGAGGCGCTGGGAACCCCGCCGGCTTCGGGTGACCTGGAAACACAGTGCAGAATCAGCATGAGTGGTAAATGATCTCCCTCTTCTGTTTTTTAATAACGCTACTCAACTACAAATTGGGGGAAACATTGAGGTGGATACATGTGAGTTTTCTCTGTTGCACAAGTTGGACGAGGCATCCAGTATACATGTGTTTGTCATTCTTGATTTTAATTTAATACGGGCCCTGTAAGAGAATAGCAAGTATGGCCCTCCGCAGTGTCGGATAATTGAATAAGATGATCTTTGCAGTGCATTGTCAGTGCACCGGGGGTTATGCACTCCTCAGAGCCACGGTCTTGCTTGTCTGCACACCTCACTCAAGCTCTGACTTCATTAACACTGCGAGATGAGAGGCTATTGATGTTTATGGTAGTAAACACGACTCTGCTCATCTGATACTAAACCAAAAGAAACATTTTCCTCCTTTAATTTCCAGCTTTTGTTTTTTCAAAAGAATATTTGAAGGTTTACTATCTCATCCTTTCTTGTATCCACTGGTGTTGCATCATGTATATTCACTCAACTGTCCATCTGCTATTAAGTTCTGGAATTACAGGTGTGCTGGATGGTAGGGATTGTCCAACTCTTTCTGTGAAGGCCAGATAGTTAATATTTTTTACTTTTGGGGCTGTACAATCACTGTTTTGATTACCCAACACTACTAAGTAGCCTCAAACCAGCCACCGGCAATACATAAATGCTCAAGCGTGACCATGTGCCAATAGTTTTATTTATGGGGCATTGTGGCATATGGGACACCTGCATCCCTTATCAGAGCACTGGTTAGTCCAGCTCCCCGCTAACACATCTGGGAGGCAGCAGATGATGGTTCAAGCACTTCAGTCCCTGCCACCAAAGTGAGCGACTTAGGAGTTCCTGGCTCCTGGCTTTGGCCTAGCCCAGCCCTGGCTCTTGAAATCTGTGAAATGAACCAGCAGATGGAAGATGTTTCTCTCTCCCTCTGTCTCTCTCCTGATACTCACTTCCAAATAAACAAACAAATCTTCAAAAAATTTTAATACCTTTGAATTTTATATAGCATTTTACATGTTGAGGATAGTTTTTTTTTTAAATAACAGTTTAAAAATGCAGAACAAAAAAAATCTTAGTTTGCATGCCACACAAAAACAGGCAATAGAATTGTTTTAGCCCAAAGGCAAAAGTTTGGAGACTTTTGATCCTAACTAATGACATTGTCCTTATATTTAAGGAGTCTCTAAGGGGCTGGCGTTGTGCACAGCCAGTCATACGGTGCTGGTTCAAGTCCCAGGTGCTCTATTTTTATTCCAGCTCCTTTTTAATGCACCTGGGAAAACAGTGGAGGTTGGCTCAAGTGCTTAGGCCTCTGCACTCACGAAGGAGACCTGGAAGAAGTTCTTGGCTCCTGGCTTTGGCCTGGCGCAGCCCCAGCCATTACAGCCATTTGGGAAGTGAACCAGTGGATGGAAGACTTCTCTGTCTCTCCATCTCTCTGTAATTCTACCAGCAAATAAGTAAAATAAATTTTTTTCAAAAAGGAGTTAAAATAATGTGCAGTGCTAAACTGGAGGAGATTGGAAAGACATTAAACAAATAATGTAAAATGTCGACAGGGCTTCAGAAGAAAGTGAAAAGAACTTAGCAGCTGTGAAAGTCGAGTCTAATCTTGAAGGCCCTGTGAGAAAACTGCATGGAACATCCATATAGGAGAGTCACCAGAATTAGAGAGAAGGTGTTTCATTATCTGTAAAATAATTTCACGCCCGTGGGGCTGGCGCTGTGGCTCACTTGTGCCACCGGCATCCCATATGGGTGCCTGGTTCTAGTCCCGGTTGTTCCTCTTCCAGTCTCGCTCTCTGCTTTGGCCTGGGAAGGCAGTGGAGGATGGCCCAAGTGCTTGGGCCCTGCATCCACATGGGAGACCAGGAAGAAGCACCTGGCTCCTGGCTTCGGATCAGCGCAGCACCAGCCGTAGTGGCCATTTGGGGAGTGAACCAACGGAAGGAAGACCTTTCTCTCTCTCTCTCTCTCTCACTGTCTAACTTTGCCTGTCAAATAAAAATAATAATAATTTCATGTCCATTTACATTCCACAGTGATCCTGAACTGAATATTGTGATTGCCTGTACTCTAAGTTTGCTGTTCTTTTTCTAAAATATATCATTTATAGACCCTCAGAAGGAAAGACCTCGGAATCGTCAGAGCATTATACAAGAGTTTAGGGGAGTTCCAGAAATCCACCTCAACAGTCTGCCACAACCCAAGAAGCAGTGACTCAGAGAAGCGTTAACTCCACAGACGATCTTTCATCAGAGGTCCGAAAGCTCAGTATTAACCTACCATACCTTGTCTAGTTGGAGGCTGTTGTCTTTTTAGAAAGTCTGCTTTCTCGTGTTTAAATTACAAATTCTCCACACGCCAGCTCTAGTCTACCTAGTACACCATATTGCCTACTATTTTTCAAGCAAACCCTGAGTAAAACAATTAGAATGGTCTTGACATTGTCAAGGTCAAATATTACTCTAGTCTGTGTTCCTGATTGCTCTCTGATTGTTCAAATGCACTCTATACATAGAGAAAAGTTGTATTCAGCATCTTTTGAATATTTAAATGCTTTTAAAAGAAAAACAGGTAGTTAATATAATTTTAAAAGGAGAAAATCATAGCAATTATAAACAAGTATAAAATAAATACACATTCAAGATCTTATTTAACAAACCAATTAGTAAGGAAATCTGTAAAAAGTTACAATAATTTCAAAGGGGACCCCAAAGACAAGACACATTTGTGGGCAATGAAGAATGCTAAAATGAACTTCCTAGTAGATTCAAAAAGCTTTACCACCTATGGAGCAACCAAAATGTTTAGAATCATTTATACAGAATGAAAATTATGGTATTTCTACTATAGAAAAAATCATGTGTACATCAATATATAAGTATAATTCGTTCTGCTATCAGATCTCCACAACTTAAATAGTTAAAAACAATGAAAGGCACAGATCCTTCTAGAGCCAAATGACCCTGGAAGGTCCACCAGAGTCCACCCAGCATTCCATCGACAGAACCCCCAGTATCATTGTGTCCATTTTAAAGCTCCTTATAGTTGGTCTGAAAAAGTCAAGTTGGCTTATTTAAGAGGCAGAGAGAGAGAAAGACAGAACTGCAAAGGGTAAGAAGAGTTTGGCAAGTAAGGAGTATACTGGCAGAAGTATACTAGACTCCTTAAAAACTTCACGGAAAGATGGAATTAAACAATACATTTATTTTGGTGCAAACAACAACAACAAAAACATTGAGGAAGGGATGTTTAGCCTAATAATGAAGAAGCCAGATCCCATTGAGTACTGGGATTCAATTCCTGGTTTTGGATCCTAATTCCAGCTTCCTCTGGGAGGCAGCAGTGATGGCTCAAGTAAATGGGTTCCTGCCACCCATGTGGAGGCCTGGATTATGTCCCTGGTTCCTGTCTCCAAATTTTGTTCCCAGACCATTCCAGCCATTGAGGGTATTTGGGGAGTGAGTCAGCAGATGGGTGCTCTCTGTTTCTCTCTCTGACATTCAAATAAATAAAGAAATCTATGCATTTTCATGCACTTTTTTGAAGATCTCTCATATGCATGGTTTTCAAAATTTTTTGCATCAAAAGAAACATCGTTTAAGTCTATTTTTCATGAACTTTTTGACTTACCCTCACACAAAGACAGCATGGCAGAATCAGGTAACTTAAAGAGGCTTAGCTAACCAGAAAACTGTCTAGAGCGCAGGAGCCAGGTCAGAGGGCTGGAGTCTTGTGAACAGATTGAGTTTTATCGTATAGCAGTTGGGAGGCAAGAGAGAGTGTTCAGTCTATGAGACTGAATAGACTCAGCATGTGTGGCATTGCACACAGCTGACTTGTGGAGCGAGTGAAGGAAAGAGGGAGAGAAGAGTGGGAACAGGACAGAGTGCGAGGCGACCTTCGCAGTAACCCAGGAGTGGCCCACATTTCTCTGTGTTTCCTATTTGGTTGCCTATCATCTGATCCTCTTTCTTTGTTTTGGGTAATTCCTCAATTTATAACTTTAATGAGAAACTGAGCTCACCTGTAATGGGATGTGAAATCTCTAAATAGTTCCTTTCCCAACCCCTGGGAGTCTGGACCCAAGGCTAGGCACAAGACCTAGACTTCACAATTAGATGACTCCATCTTGAATGTTGGAGTGAAAGCCAATGATTCTAGGGAGCAGGAGGTCCAAGGAAAAATCCCCTTGGCAGCTGGACGCTGGTATGTATAGAAGAGGCAGTAACACGGAATATCAGGGGCCAAAGCCCTGGCCGTACAGAAGAGTAGTGAGTGTTAGAGATGGAAGGTGTGCTGGGGTCTCTTTAACTGTGGCAGCAGTGGGAGCCACACAGGAACATCTTGAGGGCAAAGTTTTGGCTGTGATCTTCCCTCCAGAACAGACTCCAAGCCTCCTTCTGTGAGTTGCCATAACTCCTATCAATAAATCCCTCAAGTTGGCCAACAAGTATTTTTGTCACTTGTCACCAATGAATGCAATTGATAGATCATAGATTTTTGAACAAGTGACTCTGGAAAGCAAAACAGTGGTCTGAACCAACAGACAGATGCTAGAAAAGATAGAAGAAGACAAGGTTTTAGCCTCCACAGAACCTAAGCATCTGTAAGAGACACAAATAAGTAATATGTACATACAATCTAGCTTGGCAGGTGCTCTGGTGAGAGGAAAACCAAAGGCTGTGACAGTACCTACCCAGGACTGCAGGGTTCGAATCAGGGAAAGTGCTATGGAAGAGATAAACTGAAATAACGACACGTGGCTGATAGATGGTACAGAGGCATGGTGATGGGTTTCTCGCTTCAACAAAAAGGTGAGCAGTATCACGAATCCCATGCCACCAATGGAGGAACAAGTTTTCAGGAAAAAAATCAAGCTTAATTTTGATGTGTGCCTTTTGCATAGGAGACACCTCTGGTGGTGAGGTCTGGAAGGCTGTTTGAGACTGTGGTCC